AGGTTTGCAATCCCGTTGCCGGTCCCGGTCCGGTACAGGCACGACACTGAGGGTTGCGATCCATTGCTGGACATGAAAAAAGACAAAAAGGAAAAAAAAAATCCACTTCCTTATGTTCTCCAGCTCCTAGAGGTTGCTCATGGCGCTTTGTCCTCCATCTTCAAAGCATCTCTCTGACCAGTCTCTGATCTTCAAATTGCTTCTCTACTCATTCTTCTGTAGTTGCATCTCTCTCTGTCTCTGTCTCTTTGTCTCTCTTTCTCTCCATAGCTGGGAAGGATTCTCCACTTTTAAAGATTCATATGATTAGGTTGGGCCCGCCTGGATAATTCAGGCAAATCTCCCCATCTCAAGGTCATTAATAGTCACATCTGCAAAGTCCCTTTTGCTATGAGAGGCGATATAGTCACAGGTTCTGGGCATCAGGATGTGCACATCTTGGGGGGCCATTCTCGTGCCTACCACAGAGATCGTGTAGCCTTAACTGGAACCCTCTCTGTAAGTCAGAGAATATGACAGTTACTGTACTTATGACCAGATGAATGTACTTCCAGTCTAGGCCAGTCAAATATGCTTTAGCCTGCATACCACTCGAAATGTAGAACTAGAATGTCATTTACTTTCAAAAAATTAACATATATGTAAAGAAAAATGCATACATATATTTTTGTATTATGCTCTAATGTAAAACAGCAAGGAAATAAATGGGTGACTTATGAAACCTTATACAAAATCTCCCACTCTGGTAGTGTGACGCCCAGGATTAGGTCATGAGCCGGTGAAGTGAGCTGTTCATTTGAGTCTGCATAACCACTGCTGAGGGTCATGGTCAGCTTGTCCCTTCTTTCCTGGATGCTCCTCTGCTAAGAAGCTTGTGGATTCAGAATGACTGCAGGGGATGCTGGATGGCAACTCCTGTTGACCCCCACAAGATGCTTAAGCATCCCCTCCTCAGATGAAAAGCCGATCCTTGTTTCTCTGTAGCTGAGGGGCATTCTGTAGAAGTCATCCTCTCATTCATAGGCATTCATGTGCTCGCACTTGCCACACATCATTGTAACCAGAATCTAGCCCTTTGGGAGAACACTGGCCAGAACCCCTCCAAGAATTTAATTTCACAGTCTGACTCTGCTTCTGATTCATGTCCTATTCTCATCTTACATTTGTCTGTGAGCATCAGCAAATACAAATTCATGTAAGACCACCTTACATTTGTTAAGCACTTGACTTTTCAGAATTCTTTCACCTCAGCTATTTCTTCTGGTCTCAGCAATTCGGAAGGTGGTCAGAGCAGATATGAAAACAGAGTCATGGAGAGACTAGCCATCTTATTCTTATCTCACTTGGTCACAGGGTAGTCAGTGAGAGCTTAGATTAGAACCAGTTTCTTAACTTTCAAACCAAAGCTCTTTCTCCTTGATGATGTAGAAAAAAAAAATTCCAGTAACTCAAGAGTTAGAGCAGAGTTTTAATAACTTTGAACTGTCAGAGCTATCACACTAATTCTCACTTAGAATATATATTGACTATAATTTGGTGGTGGGGGAAATAAGAAACAAAGAACAAAATGTATTTCATGCAATATTATATAAAAACACATCAAAATCTTAGAAAAATCAATATTATGTAAAAAACTAAGAAAGACCTAGAAGAAACAAACATTTTTGCTGCTGTACTATTTTAGAAATAGCACATGGTTTCTACCACATGAATAAAAGAATCAAAGAAGCAAATGCAGAGTCAACCTCGGAACTTAAATAGCCCAACATGCACAGAGCTGAGCATTTTCTGGTTAGTGTAGTTAATTCCACCAACAAGGCAGTGATACGCCTTTAAATGTAAATTTAGACTATAGAATTTGGAATGCTACCCGTACCTCATGTGTTTCTTTTCCTCAGTCTGGCTAATCTGAGATAGCTATATAAAAATTATTTTGCTAAAAAATTGTCAACACAATGTTTGGGGCTGGTTCAGGCTCAGAATGATTTTCTGGATTATTTATAAGATCTAACCAGGAAATTTTGAAATTTTGTTTTGTTTTGAAACCAATCTAAAAGTACACACAAAACCTGTTTCTTCCTGGTTTTACTTGTCAGTTTTCAGTAAATGCCCATTTTTAATGTTCCAAAAATATACATTAAAATAATGTGAATTGTCTTTTTAAAAATGATCTCTTTCTGCCTCTTGAAATATTTCTGTAACCATATTGAATATGGACAGGGAAAAGGCTCCACACATGAACATTCCTTGTTATGTTTTCAAGTGTATTTTGCTGGTGATATTTGTGGCAGATATGAATATTGCATTTAGTTGAATGGATGAAAAGTGGCTTCTGTATTGAAATACTACTTTAGTCTGTGAGAAATGAGGTCTGGCTCACATAAAGAGCAGGCTTATAAAGACTGTCCAATGACACTGCCTAACTTCATGCAAGGAGCATAGAACAACTCTTCAGGCCGTTATTCATCAAAATTGAATGTGTTTCATTGGGAATTCTGCTCAAAGAGAAAGACTGTATACTGAGAAAATTATGTAGCAATTATCTTTCCCTAACCTAAAAATAAAATACAAACATGGAAAAGTTCACAGCATTTCATGGCCCCACTGTCCCCCAAGACCACCTGGAGACATGGCTGAACCAAGAGAAGGAGGCACTGTGGACCCTCAATGGACTCAATATCAAGAGTCTGTGCGATAACTTCGAGCTTCTTCTCTGATTAGCTGTGTTTTCTCATTTGCATTTTTAGGCTGGAGAACAACTGGAAAGTCCATATCTAAAAATAAACAAAGCAAAGTGATAAACACTCTCTTATCATGTTACAGTTCTTTTAAAGGGGCAAATGGTGGGTATTTTTATTGAAATGATGATTGGCAAATCAACTCAATTCACAAGATATTAATATGCCTACCCTTTTAAGAACTTCAAAAGGGAGGAGATACTGTCTTTACTTTTTATTCAAATTCTGTCCATTAAAGCATTATAAAATGAAAGCACCAGCCCCAGCTTTCACCTTGTGGGTGCTTGCCCAACTTGGTGAACTTGAGCTTTAGTTGTTACCATCTTATGGGGATGGAGACAAGGCCACCATATACAGTTATTCAGATTGGACATTGCACAAATCAAGGAGGCACCTTACGTATAGACGACAGTGTATATCTTTGTAAGAAGTGTAGTCTATATGAAAGATGTCCCCTAGAGTTCTGTAGTGAAAAGATGCATAAAAGGCCCTGGGTGGGACAAGAGTCAAGACACCAGGCTTGCTTAGGTGGAGAGTCTAAGAGGATGCTTCCCACGTAAAGCTAGTGCCCCAAATGGTTATATATCTCTAGATCACTATATCCCTAAATCTGCAAGGGTATTTGTTATTCTTCAATTTTGGTGCTGAGTTAAGGGAGGAAAGAAATGCCCCAAAAAATCTGTTTAGAGGAAAGCCAGAGAGCACACAAATAGGCAGACCAAATTTACAATATCTCTGTGTTCAAAGAAACCTCAAGATGATACTTTAGCTTAAAGTGGTCCCAGGCACCTAGAAGACATGAATGACCTCACCTTCAACCCAAGCCTCAAAGAATCACTACAAAATTACAAGAAACATGAGCTCAAAGTAAAAACAAATAGAGAAACAGATGAGAGATAAATGAAGGGTGGGGGAGATTACACATAGAAACAATGCACACTGAGTGAGAGCCAGTAGAAACAACAGAAGGCTAAATCAGACCTAGTAGGACATCAAATACTGCACTTTATCAGACACAGAATAAAAAAAAATCAAGTGTTTTTAAAGTTATCAAACAGATTTTGAAATTTATAAAAAAAAAAAAACCTCTAGAGATTAAAACATCTGAAATAAAAAAAAATATTTGATCGGTTTGTTTAACAGCTGAAGAGAGAATCAGTAAATTAGAAGACAAATCTGCAGACATCATCCAGAATGTAACAGAAAGGCAAAGAGAAAATATGAAAGACATTAAAAGACATGAAGGATAGGTGATAAAATCTAACATGTCTAATATGACTGCCATAAATAAGTGGACAAAAAAAGAAGAGGAGAAGCAATATTTGAAGATTTGATGGCTGAGAATTTTCTAGAATTGATGAGACACCAATCTACAAATCTGAGAAACAGCCAAGATAAATTAAAGAGAAATCAATATTTAAAACATCTTAGTGACACTGAAGAACACCAAAGATGATGGTTTTAAAGGCAATCTTACTTCTTAACAGCACATATGGAAGTCATAAAATTATAGATTATATCTTCCATATGCTGAAAGAAGATATCTATCAACCTAAATTAGTTAATAAACCCTCTCTTATGAGTTGCATCTTTTTTTTAAGAAAGCATTATATAAAGATATTTTCATAGAATAAAAACAGAAATTTTGCCACTAGCAGATCCAATTTAAAAGAAGTAATTTGGGGCATCTCTTTTTGTCAGATGGAAGATTTGAGCTGTAAAAAGGAATCATTAGCAAAAAAAACCTAGTAAATGTGTGAGTAAAACCAAACAATTACTGACTATATAAAGCAGTAATAATTTATGAGGCTTAAAAATGAGATAAATTGAGAACACAACAATAGTGTATAAATCAGAAAGGAGATGATCAGAGTTAAGTGTTTTAATAACTTTGAAATTCTTGAATTGTTCAGGAGGAAAGTAAAGATAAGAATTAACTTTAAACTTTGGCAATTTAAGTATGCTTGTTAAATTCCTAGGGTAACCCTAAAAGAATAGAACAAAGAGTATAATTTCCGAATCAGAAGAGGGAAAGAAATTGAGTAAGAAAAAATACTCCATCAATGCAAAAGAAAGAAAAGAATGAAAAAAAAAATGAGAAAAACAGTAAAAACATGCTAATTTAAAGTAATTATAATGATAAAAATATGAATAGAAAGCATGTATATAGTACTTATTATGTGCACAGCACTGTTCTCAGCATTTATGTATATTAACTAACTTAGCAGTTATAATAGCTCTATGAGGTAGGATTATTTTTATACCCATTTTACAGATGAGGCAGCGGGTCACAGACTGTTTAAATTACTATTCCAAGGTTGCACGGGTAGTAAGTAATAGAGCTGGTATTCAAACTTAGGCAGTATTTTCCAGAGTCTGTTCTCTTAAAGACTATTTCTATACTGTATCTCACAAAAAGTAAGTTAGTAGAAAAGATCAAAATATATCATTAATTATAATAAATGCAATTTAACTTAATACTCTACTTAAAAGAAGAATATTGTCAGACTTAATAAAAAAAAACAGATAAATGCTGTTTGCAAAAGACACGTCAAAAAACATAAGGATTGAAAGTTGAGAGTAAAAAAATGGAAACATATTTACCACACACTAACCCCCCAAAAGCTGATGTAACTATATTTTAACAGACAAAATAATATATGAGGCAAAAAGAATTGCTAGAACTAGAGGGTAACTACATTATATTAAATGTTCAATCCACCAAGTAGCTATAAAATTTTTAAACTTATATACACTAATAAAATAGCCTCAAAATACACAAAGCAAAAATTGACAGAAATTTATAGAAAAATCCATTATCACAGTGGAAGACTTTAATGCAAGCAAAAAAAATCTTTAAGAATATGAAGAACTTGAAAAGTATCATGTGAACTGAATTGTGTCTCCCCCAAATTCACATGTTGACATCCTCATTTCCAGTACCTCAGAATGTGATGATATTTGGAGATAGTCTTTAAAGAGGAAGTTAAGTCAAAATGAAGTTGTTAAAGTGGGCCGTAATCCAACAGGACTGGTGTCCTTATAAGAAGAGGAGATTTGAACACAGGAAACATCACATGAAAACACAGGGATAAGATAACCAGCTATGAGACAAGAAAGGTCTCAGAAGAAACCAACCCTGAACCTTGATCTCAGACTTCTAACATCCAGAACTTTGAAAGAATAAATTTCTGTTGCTTAAACCACCCAGTCTGTGGTGCTTTGTTGTGGCTGTTCTAGCAAACGAATACGCACAATAAATTAGGTTTATTTAACAGGAATATATAGAAAAACAAACCCAACAAATGCAGAATGTACATGGAAAGATTCGTATTATCTTTTAATTCTATTTTTTCCGTGAATTTTTGAAGTACCCTCATATCATTTTGAAGTAATGTGGAACATATGTAAAAATCGACTTAAGTTCTAGACTGTAAAGCAATCTCAGGATATTTCAAAGTATTGGGATCGTACTGTCGACATTCTCTGATCACAGCAATTAAATTAGACACAAACAACAAAAGGGAACCTGGAAAACCCCCACAGGTTAAAAATTAAGACATATGTAGGCCTAACTTATAGGTCAAATAAAAAATCATAATGGAAATTATAAAATATTTACTAAGAACATGTGTGTGTGTATGTGTATGAAGCTAAAGTGGTACTTACAGGAAAATATACAGCCTTAAATGTTAATATACGAAAAGAAGAAGGGCTGAAAATTAAGAAGTATAAACATTAAGAACTAAGAAAATGAACAACAGAATAAATTGGGAAATAAAGAACAGAAATTAATTGGAAACAAATATACAAGAAAATCAACAAAACCAAAAATTGTTTATTTGAGAAGAATGATAAAATCATTAAATACCATACAGAGCAAAACACCAAGTCACAAACTGGGAGAATATATTTTAAACAAACATAATCAACAAAGAATTAATGCCCAGAATATAAATAGTATTCAGTAAGAAAAAGGCATATAATGTAATAAAAAACCTACAAAAGATTCGAATGGCCATTTTATAGAAGGAGAAACCCAAACGGCCAATAAGCACATAAAAGATATTCAGCCTCACTGGTGTTATCTAACGAACTGTGGATGTGCACACCCTTTGACTAGCGAATTCTACTCCTGTGTGTATCCCTAGAAAAACTCCAGCACTCCTCTACCAGGAGATGCATACAAAAACACTCATAACAGCACTGTTTGTAATGGAAAAAAGTGGAAGCGACTCAAATGTCCATCAGCGGTAGAACGGATAAATAAGGCATGGGATGTTCTCACATATTGTTAGATGAATGACAGCCACAATGTAAATGATTCTTAGAAATATAATGTGTTGGGGGGAAAAAGCAAGCTGGAGAAGGATAGCTATTGAGTATAAGTCCACTTACTTAAAGTTCAAAAATATGCAAAACCAAATATATAAGTATAGATGTAATACTAAAAAGAATAGTAGGAAATGATAAGGAACGATTTAAGATCATTACTTCCGAGGAGGGAAAAGTGATCAAGGAACTCAAAAGATAATGGTAATATTCTTTTTCCAAGGTATAAAGTCAGGTCATAATATTTGTTTGTACCTATTTAATATTTTAAAAAAAAACAATAACAGATAAAGGAGTTGAGTGAATTACCCCCAAAACCTCGACAAGTAACTAATAGAGTTGGGGCCTGAAACAGGATAGTCTGACCCCGCAGCCTTCTACCCTAGCTGCTAGCCGTCCTCTAGAGATGGCCGGCATGACAGGCTGATGGTCAACGCTCCTGTTCCCCCAGGCTCTGCTAATACTGATGTCTTGCTTAGGCCTGTGACATCCTCCACTCCCTGCCATGCGTGAATTTGCCGAGAACAAAGAACCCTCTCCTTTTCTGAAGGAAGGGCGTTTAATTTCTTTCTCTAGTCAGATCTTGGCCTAGCTTCTCCTGTACTAACTGTTTAAAACTTGAGATTCACATGAGCTTAAAATTAACCATTTTACACATTCCCCCCCCACCCCACCCCCCATAACAGTCCATACCCAGGCCAGCA